TAAAATTTGAAATAGAATTTATAATACATTTTAAAATACATCAAGCTAAGATTATTAGCATTTTTTACAGGACTCCGCTTCACAGCTGTATCTCGGAAAAAAACGAGATGCTGTTCGATCTATTACTCGAGGCGAAGAATATAGATGTAGATCAAATCACAAACGAAGATGATACGCCGTTGTGTTTTGCAATGAAGATGGAACCTTTCAATGAATACTTTGCGTCGAAATTGCTTGCTAAAGGCGCTATACCGAATCCAACATATGATGTCACCGGAAATACATTGCTTCATATCCTGACGCAAGAACGCAAAGAAGAGGCAGCGTTATTCTTAGTGGAATATTGTAATAATAATTTAACGAAAACTAACAACGAAGGTTTCACAATACTACACGAAGCGTGCAGAGTGGGTTTAAAGGATTTGACTCATGCTCTGTTAAAAAATGGGCTGCCGACCGATGTCGTTACTCTTTCTACTGGCGACGCGCCAATTCATTTCGCTATTTCGAATTTGTACACTGACATAGTCATCGAGTTATTAGACGCTACAAGTTTGGATTCGCAGTTGACTATTAAGAACAACGCGAACGAGACACCTCTAAGTTTGGCTATAAAGACACCATTCAAGAAAGGTAAAGATATCGTGCTGGCTCTGATAAAAGCTGGAGCTGACGTGAATGAACGCAACGATGAAGGTCTGACGTTATTGCATCAAGCGATACTGAAAGAGGATTCGGCTACAGCGATATTTTTGTTAGAAAATGGTGCTGACATGAACGCAAAGTGAGTTTGATAATACATTAAAACTTACTGAAATCTATTTGCGATTACAGTTTCAATTTTATTAACTGTTTAATTGTATGTGTAGAACAGCCAATGGAGAGACACCGTTACAACTGTGCGTACATTGTAGATTGGGCGAAGTGGTAGAGGCTCTTTGCAGGCGAGGCGTAGACACTTCAATAGGATGTCCGTTATGGGATGCTTTAGATTCGGATCAAGAAGATACTGCATCAATTTTGGTTAAACATGGAGCGGATACAGATTGTTGGGGTCCAGGCCCCGATGGCTGTCAACAAACGTTGTTACACAGAGCAATCGACGATAACAAAGAGGATATTGCACAATTCTTGATTAGAAGGTGCGAAATTTTTTTTAGTTGAAAAGAATGGACAAGCAGAGATTTATTTTAAAAAGTTATTAAATCATTACAGATATTATCTTATATTTTGTAATTTCTTATGATGAAAATATAATTCGATTTACTACAAAAAGAAGTTATTTAAGTAATTTAACGTTATATTTTACCTTTTTTTAAATAATGATTTATTATTTTGCAGTGGATGCGACTTGAATGCTTCAAGACGACCCGGCCCAGACGGTGCTGGTGGAGACGAGGCAAGAGACGAGTGCACGCCATTACATTTGTGTTGTCAATGGGGACTGGAGCAAGTCGTTCAAACACTCATCGAGCACGGAGCTGATGTGAATGCCCGCGACGCAGAGGGAAAAACACCTGTGCATGTTGCGATACAGAATCAGCATTCGCAAATTATTTCTCTTCTACTGTGCCACCCAAATATAGATCTGAATAAAAGAGATAAGAAAGGATTGTCGCCTTTCGCGACCGCCCTAACAGTTCGCAATAACAAAGCCGCACAAGCAATATTAGAGAGATTACCTAAAGCTGCTGAACAATATGACAATAAAGGCAGAAATTTCTTACATACTGCTATACAGAAGGGTGACATGGAGAGCATTCTATTTTTATTGTCGATACAAGTATTGCATTTAAGCGTAAATAAATAAATTAATTATATATAAAGTCAGTATCTGCAGCCGATCATCACTTTTCAGGTAGACGTAAATTCAAGAATACACGACGTTACACAAACGCCACCCCTACATCTTGCCGCCGTGTCGGGGAATGAGATGTTAGTGCGAAGTTTGATTCTGGCGGGTGCTCGTGTCAACGATACGGATGCAAATAGGAACACCGCTCTGCACGTAGCGGCTAAAGTAGGACATGCCGCTGTTGTCTCTGCGTTATTGCAAGTAAGAAACTAAATATGTATCGAAATTAACAATCTTAATCTCTATATAGTCACGATATTTCACGACAAACAAATTCTCGTTTGCATAGAACAATATTAATTTTGACGCGGTAAATGCGGATGGCGACAACGCGTTGCACGTAGCTGTAAGAGAAGGTCATGTATCAGTAGTGCGGACATTATTGACTGAATGTACGCTAGATGCGGAAGCAGTGAATCTCAAGGGTCGTAATCCTCTACATGAACTGGCCAGATGCGCGAGGGACAACGCTGCGACGATATGCGATCTATTCTTAGAATGCATGTCGCAATATCCAGTTAATAATGCAGGTTACACAAAAAGACAAAATGATAAAACTATTCTGAAAGACAATCTCTCTTAGCTAAATTGTATATTATGAGTGTTTTTCAGCAAGAGACACAAATGGCAATGAATAATTACATTCTTGTTATTTGTCAATATTAAACAAAGATGAAGTGATTACGTTATGGTGATTGTGTTACACTATGTTTCTTGCTGAAAAGCACCATATATGTGTCTTATTGAGTTTGTATATTTCAGATTTGGATGGAAATACTCCGTTGTTGATCGCGTATATGAAAGGCAATGGCAATCTTTGTAGAACGCTAGTGAAAGCCGGGGCATGCCTGGGTTCGATGAATAAAGATGGAATTACGATCTTCAATTATCAAGTAGCGACGAAACAGTTGTTATATAGACTATTAGATTCTTTAACACAAGAAGCGCCATGGTCCGACAAGGATTGTTGCTTAGAGTGCGGAACAAAATTCTCTCTTACAATGCGCAAGCATCATTGGTATTGTTGAATTGTTTTAAGGACAAAAATTGACGTGTTAATCTTTTAAATATATATTTAATATTCTCTTTTTTTTTAGCCGGCATTGTGGACGAATTTTGTGCAGCAAGTGCTCAGGTCAAGATGTACCAATCTTGAAATTTGGCTTGAACAAACCAGTACGTGTGTGCAATGTATGCTTTGATGTATTACTGGGTACTGGTTCTCTTCAACCATCATAGTTAAAATAAGAATTTATATATATATATATGACAAAACAAATGGAGAAAAAGATCATTCCAACATTTTTTTATACATGACAAAAAACAGAACGAACTGCACTGAAAGTCTGTGTATAATTATGTCATTCATATTTTATGTATTCTATTGTATACACATTGTTCAAATTTGTTAAAAACTATTTCGTAGAGTTGAAATACAGATGAAGAGACCACGAAGAGATATTTCTATCTATAATAATTTAGTCTTTTATTGCTAGTATTTGATTATATATGTACATGTTTCAGAGAAATTTTTAGCTTTAACATTGCAAACAACATTGCAAACAATAGTTTAGTTCTTTATGGAAATATTGTGCAATTATTTGAGTTTACTAAACAGAGTCTTTGCGGCGCAATGATCTACGCATTGGACATAATCCAAAATCTCCTCTACACATGTTTCTTCTGTATGAGATCTTGAATTAACACGATTGTTGCACGTATCCAACTTCTCTTTGAAACTGACGCATTTCGGTAGTTGACTGCATTCCTCCTGCATAAGGAAAAATCAAATATAAATAAAAATGATACAAGATGTTAGAGCATGATAAAATTTTGTCATAAATATGCTTTTAATGTCAATTCTTTTATTAATAATTGATATAAATAATTGATATAAATAATATAAACAATTTGAATTTAAACCGAATTACAAGTCAATTCAATTGTTTTATTTCGTTAAAAAAATTATATCCGTATATATAAATATATTCGTATAGAAGAAATTTTATTAAAACTCGTATTTTATTCCGGCTTTATTAAACTATTTTGATGTTAAAAAAGCAAACAGAATATCGGCATTTGAAAACCTTTTTCTTTCAGTTAAAATTTTTTTCAAACTGTGAAATCACAAAACGCAATACGATAATCGTGGCTTAAACTTAATCAAATGCGATTGTATTTCGAAAAATCGGCGAAGTATTTGCACGTTCAAAAGACAAAACATTATATAACTATTGTCACTTACCCGAAGGACTGTTTGTGGATCCACTAGTTCCTCTTCCTCTCCTTCGTCGGCCTTAACTACTGGCAGATAACGCTTGAAGAAGTTCTGTATCGACATTTCTTTTATTTATCAGGATACTCTGATATCGTGGAAGTTGACTTCCCAAATTTCTGAAGAAATCAAGAAACACTTGGAAATGAATGAAGATAACCGCAACTCAGAACGTTCGGGAAGAATTATCACGATTCATCGATTGATCGAAATTTAAAGTTGTATTGAAGAATTAGTACAGCAGCCAATCAGCTGCTACAGATAATAGGTAGACTAAAAAGTGATTGGATACGATTTTAAGGGCATATATTCAGATAAACTTGCAATCCATATAAATGGATGCATAAAAATTATCTAATTGCATTTTTATTATTAAATTGCACGTCAAACACGATTGCATAATTTTCTTTAAGCATACGTTTATGCGGCTGTGCAATTGTAATTTCATGCGAAATCCGTATGTAGCAACGTTCACATCGGTTCGTTTTAGGTGTGTTCAGAAATAAGACCGAAAATCTAAGGAATCCATTCCATGCAAATTATATAGGTCTGTTCGCGTTGCTTGAAATCTCCAAAAATTTTTGCACTAAAAATGAGATATTATATATATA